TTAAAATTTACACTTAATCTATTAATAAAGTTTATTGGAGCAAGACTCCGTTGGATATAAAAAAAAAAAAAAAAAATCAAAAATAAAACAACAAATATGTTACTAATTAATCTTATAGCTATGAATTCTGTGAATCTGAAGTATAATTTATAAAGTTTTTAGAATTTTTACTTGCGAATTAAATTTAAAATCAACTTCTGTACGCCGGACGTTCAAAAATCGTTCTCTGGAATTTAATCACTAATTATTCGATCAATTTAAATTAAATATGTCTAAATACTTTGCATAAGATGCTATATATTCTTAGATTTAATGTTAATTAGTATTATCTTCATTATTATTTTAATAAATAAAAAACTTTTATATGTAGAAACCATTGACAAATATTTTCGTATTTTTTATTTTTATTTTTAATAAATTTCGGCCGTTTTTATTCACGTCAAAGTAAAGCCCGATTTTTCACCAAATACTATAAAAAATGCTTATATGAAATTGTAGCCAGAAATAATATATACAATTTAATTAGAAGATAGTTGGTATTTATCTTTAATATTCATCGAATCCGGTATGGTTAGTTTTCAAAGATTAAATTATTATTTTTTGCTAATTTTATTTAAAGCGTAATCTCTATTCAATTTTAATACAAAATATATCATATGATAGCCTAGTTTAGGGAAATCTAGTAAAAAAAAAGTTTGTGCCCAGTGACTTTTGATACCTCATTTTAAATACACGATTATGTCATATATAAAATAAAATTCTTTCAATACTCGAATACATAAGTTATCAAAATCACTCAAGAAAAGTTGGAAAATTAGAATAGAGAAGAGATTAAATAAATAAGATAAATTTATTCTTTTATTTTTATTGAAAATAAAATCATTAATATAATTATTAATAATATCATGTACACACGCGAAAAATAAATTTATGTATTATTAAATACCTGTGTATGGTATTTGTATATATGTATATATATATTTATCTATGAAAAAAAATGAATTAAAAATAAAAAGGACTAATCGGTTTATATATGATGTGAATAATGTTAAGGTGATGATGATGAACTAACCAAAAATACCCCCCAAAAAAAAAATTTATCCTCCAATTTCCCAAATACAAATTCACTTTGTACAAAAAAAAAAAAAATTAATGAAAATGAAATCTACAATAATAATAATATTAAAATGATTCTACCAATTAGTAATAGTAGTATTTATCCTAACATAATCTCTACCGCAGTATTAGCAGGTTTTCCAGCATGCAATAAGTAAACATAACAACGACCTGGAGTCATAACATTGCTTCTTGGTACCATTCTAATATTAACATTCCAATATCCATTACCACCATTATTAACTTGGGCTACCTGTAATTTAACATATCTTTGCGACATATGTACTGAATGGGTTTGAAAACCTAAATTTATAACTGCACTTGTAATTACAGGTTTAACTCCTACGGGAAGCCGAATTCTTACGGTAAATGTTTTACCATAACCAATTCTAACAGGGTTTATTTGATTAAAATTACCAACACCGGCAAATGTAACTATATTTGGTCGAGGAGTATTGGTTAAGAGGTAGGGAGGGGTGAAAATTTCTACTCGATATCTATATAAATAAATATATTTGTGTTAGTGGAGTTATGTGTGAGAGAGAGAGAAATAAAATAATAATAATTTAACACTTATATACGTACTCAGTAGGATATTTTAATACACCATCATTTTTTCTGTAATTTCCATTAGGATTACTACCAGTTATGAAAACTGTACCGTCGGGGAGTAAATTAGCAACTGAATGATACATTCTGGCAATTTTTGAACCGGTCAATCTTGTCCATCGTTTATTTTTAGGTGTAGCAGGATTTGGATCATATAATAATGGAATGAGAACTGGATTATCGGCTAAATATCTATAATTTGGTGCTCCACCCTTGGCTAATTAAATTAAATTAAAATAACAGTAAATGGTTAAAAAAAAGAAAAGGAATGATATAAAAATAATAATTTTCGCAAGAGAAAAATAAAATAAATATAAAATACTTACTGTACCCAGCATATCCTTTACCAGCTCCATTAACGAATAAAATCTTTCCATCAGCTAAACAAACACCGTCACCCATAACTCGGGGAATTACAAAAGTATCCATATCCCATGTAGGTTTTGCTACACTTAAATCTATTCTTCCACAAGTATTATCAGCTACCGCATTCATATCACCATATTTTTGACCACCACCACAAATCATAAAATCTGGTCTATAATTATTTTCATAAGTTAAAGGTAATAATAATCCCGTGCCGGTGAGAGGATAAGTTCTTGGAGGACCTTTCAATGCTGGTATGTCATTCGGACCTAATATATATTTCTTAGTTCTATAATCCCAAACGCAGGCTTTTGTTCCCGAAAATATAAATAATCGAGTACCATAAGGTAAAACTACTACATGAGGGTAAAGATCAAATGGGAAAGTTTTTAAAAGGAAATCAAATGGTACACCTGGGGGAGTATTATCTTTAGGAAAGAATTCGTAAGTGGGGTTTTGATAGGCTACAGTATTAATTGCTGTGGCGGCAGTACATCCACTAAGGATAAATACACGACCATCGGGAAGTCTATAATTATTATAAAATAAACATAGTATTATGAGATTGTGAAATGTGAATGACAATAACAGATAATGTAATTGTAAACAACATAAAATGATATAATAATAATAATATATTACTTACGTAGTCAAGGTATTGTACCATCGAGCAGAGCTAAGGTAAGATGTTTTTTCTACCCAATTACATTGATTATTAACACAAGGTGTCCATAAACGAATTCCTAGAAATCCACTTGAGGTTTGAGTTCCTTTATCAGGTTCTGCTCCACCAGTTTCAACTAATGTACCATTACTAAATTAATATAAAATTCAAATTATTATTTATTATTTAAATTCATAAGAATTCACGTGATTGTTTTTATTATTTACCCCAAGTAAGCACCGGCGGAACAAAAAGTATTTGAACCTAAATCGAGTACTCTGAATTTATTGGTTCTAAGATCATATTCGGCAGAAATCCCGGGCCATCCATTTTTACGTTTTACGGGATTGTTTTCGGCTATTATTATTATATGTGTGTGCGTGTGATTGAAAATGTTTAAAAATGTTTAAAAAAAAAATAGTAAAATGGAATGGTAAAGAAAAATAATAAGATAAACTTACATTTGTCAACAATCACCATCTTGTACGGACCGGATTGAAACGTGTGCATAGCTGCTACTCCCGAACTAAAAAAACAAAAAATTTAAACCGTAAATAAATAATTCGTTATAAATGTAAATAAATAAATATATATATATATTTAACTCACTTTCCAACAAGTTTCCAAGTTCCTTGAGCCTCAGCTTGTAATGGGGCTGAACTTAACAAACCCAAGGCAAAAAATGCCAAAGAGAGTAATGATGTCTTCATTTTTTAATTAACTTTTTGGAAAAAATAATTTCTTGTATTATTATTATTATTATTAATGTAAGAAAGGAGAAGTAATTTTTTTCTTTTTTGGAAAATTATATAATATATATATATATATCTAATATCTATCATGGAATAATTCGAAGAAGAGAAGATGTTTATTATTTATAATGAATGTGTATATAAATTATTTATTGTTAAAATTGTTGAAAGGAGAAGATTTGTTTGATATTGACATGATATGAAAATAATAACGAATATAGTGATTTGTTGAGTACGAGAAATAATTTTAGGGATTAAAATAGAACAAATTAGAATGGTTTAGTTAGTAAGTAAATAAATAAATTAAGAACAATAAAAGAATAACAAATAAATATTAAACAAAGAATAATAATAATAAAAATGATAAAAATAACTTACTTTGAAGATCCAAAGATCATAAGGGGTATAATTATTCTCTCAAAGAAATGTAAATATATGGATTATTTATATATGATGAAGAATGAATTTATGATAAACTCTAAATCTATTCTATAGATGTGAGAGTGAATGATGTTCGAAAAAACGAGGAAAAAAAAAAAAAAAAGAGAAACAATAAATAAATAAGTAATTAAAAAAAAAACAAAAAAAATAAAAATAATACAATAACAATAAAAAAAATCAAATCGAAAAAAAAATACCAATTCCAGGAATTATATTTATAAATAAATTGAAAAATCAAAGTTTAGAAGTTATAAATGAGGATGAAACAGATAATATGGGTATTAAAGGAATAATATCCAAAATAAAAAGATGTATGAAGGAAGACGTCGTTTCTTATTATGATGTGTTAGCCGAATTTTTAAATGAGAGAACGAGAAAATGAAGAAAATTAATGAAATTAAGGAAATAGGAAAAATAATACAAAATAATGAAAATATAGAGACAGAGAGAGAAAAATATTAAATTTAATATATATATATATATATAATATAAAGGGATTAAGGATATTAGAAGAGGAGGAGGAGGAGGAGGATGATGATGTTATGAAGGAAGGGAATGTAAGGGATAAATATATATGAGGAAATGATGAGATAAGAAAATGAGAGAGAAGAGATGAAGATGAAAAATACGAACGAATACCTTCTAAATAGGTCCTAAATAAGTGTGTCCCTAAATAGATTAATTTAAATTTTAATTTATGTTAATTATTAATTAAATTATTATTTATATTTTAATTCTTAATTAGTATAAAAAATACATAATTGTACAATTATGTACATGTGTGCATGTAAATAATGTGTTTTTGAGGTGATAAAGTAAATCAAATATATTTTTTTTTTTTTCGATTGTGAATAAGTGTAAACGGATTGAATGAATGAGTGTATTTAAAAAAAAATAAAAAAATATAATATTTTAAATTTTTCGATTTTACCGTCTTTCTTTCTTTTTTTTTTTTGGTCGTTTTTTTAGCATTTTATACTTTATGATTTTTATTTTATTTTATTTTTTCTGCGGTAATAAATTTTATTCAATAAATTTATATATGTACGTACATTTTTAAATAAATAAATTTCGGTTAATTACATTCGTAATTTAATTTTTTACACAATCAATTTTCGTACATTTGTTTATATTTATTATATTAAAATTTAAATTTTATACATACCTCAATACATTTATCATATTTGTGATTATATTTGTAATATTTAATTTATTTTTAATGTCTATCATTTTATACTCAATATTTAATCATCCGTTATTAAAGAATATTATTTGATGAAAAACATTTAAGCACGGAATTTTCCTTTAAAAAATAATAATAAAAAAAAAAAAACAAAAAAAAAAATTTCTTCGAATATTTCTATTTAAAGTAATTCAATTTTTTTTTGATCACCCAAGAACAATTTGATTTGGTCACATTATTTAATTTTTTAAAAAGAAGGTCGGGGGTAATTAATTTGTTATCATTTTTAAGAAAAGATAAACATTTCACTTGTAATAATTAAATAATATGTATATTTTGATTACAATAAATAATCAGCAATGAAATGGTAAAAAAAGGAAAAGGGTTAAATAATTTAACAATATAACCAGTTTAACTGATTAAACTGATTGATTAAACTAGTTTAAATAGTTAAAATAGAAAAAAAAAGAATGGACAAAATGTCTATCTACAAACCCAACAAAACTAATAAATATTAAAAGGTCTTAATTAGGAATATAACGTAAAGTAATTTAATTGGCGTAACGTAGTAACGTGAAACATTTAATGTTGCACGATATAATATATGGTATATCGGAAGAATATTAAACTGGAATATGATAATATAAAATACATCAAATTCACAAAGTTACAGTATTCTGATCAAAGAAAAATATTATCTCCTGCGCATTCTAAGTATATTATTAGAATAAAAATTGAAAGATATTAAGCAAACTATTTCAAAATTATTATTGAAAATTTTAAGTAAAATAAAATTATAGCCTTAATTTCTGATTTATTAAAACGAGTATCATATATAGATTGCTTGGGTCCTGATATTACTATCTGTTATTAACAGTTCATTAAGAGTCTATTATATAACCGTGTAATTACTAATACGTAATTAGAGTTCCAAATTATCGATCTGTTAAATATCCACGTGCATAAACCACATTGTAAATAATATTGTAAAAAAAATATTATGTAAAAAATATAGTTACACAAAAATTTCTTATTATAGTTATTGAAAAATTGATAACGATAAAAATAATATACAATATTTAACTTGTTATAATCCGGTGATCATCACATCAGGAAAATTTTCGAAGGCATAATATTTCAGAATATTATTTTTTTTAAAAAAAAAAAAAAATTCCTGACGCACGTATAGCTGGTTTTAATTTCGTTTAAATTGCTTAGGCCTTCTCCTAAATGAAAGAGTGCATATTACGTATGTTAAATAAAATAAAAGCTTGCTTAATATTCTTATTCATTTAAAAATATATATAAATATAAATTTATTATTTAATTATTATATGTATATTATTTATATCCACCTTTTTTTACTATCAGTTTTTTTTTTTTTTTTGCGAACCTTGCAATATCTTTAGTGAAACATTTAATTACTCATTCGTTTTCCCTTTTTTTTTCATTTACTTTTACTGTTACAAATAAATCACAATAACTTGGGTCAAGTCAAATGAGTTGGTTTTCTTGTGTTATACTCCAAACATTGATTCCTTAATTCATTTTGTACTGTACAAAGAGGTAAATCACCAGTCTTTATGCATAATCTAAATTGATTACCATATTTATTTCGTAAAACGATTTAACAAAGCTTCAAAGATTAATTGTATAGAATTGCCAAGGATTAAAAATTTATTATTCCTTGTTCTTTTGAATTATTCGAAAAATTCAACTTCACCTTCATAATAAATTTTACATAATTTGTTATTACTTTAAGTCATGATGTTTTGAAAAAAGATTTAAAAAAATTAGAAAAGATCAAAAACTAATAAATCATAAAGAAAAAAAAGAATTTGCTCTTTGAATTATTAGAGATTTTTTTTAAAAAAAATTAATAAAATCTGTAAAATTGTCATGCGTTTCATAAATTGTTTTACGATTGTTTATTAATTTTTTTTTTGCTAACATAATAAAAAAGAATTAACATGAAAGAGTTTAATTATACTCATTTAATTGTATTTTCAAGTGTGTTCTTTACATATTCGATAAAAATTCAATCTTATCGTAATGATTTCTAACACTTGATCATGCATAAAAATTACGTTCATCTATTGGTATAAACATCAATTAACATTTACATTTTACAATTCATTTATTTTTTAATAATATTTTGATTGTGGAGGAAATTGAGATTGCATTACTGACAATGAGATCCATCAGTCGATAACAACGTGAACCAAGAATCGGCATTAACTTTTAAAAGTATTGCCAAGATCTATTATTTACTATACTGTAATTATATTACTATTATTATTATTTATTATTATTATTATTATTATTATTTAGATGAAGAACGAATTGAATTCATTGCTTCAAAATAAATAGTATAAATTTTACTGCAGGAATCATATTTATGTGTGTCAGATAATAATAATGTCTGTGTGGATATCGTATCAGAGTATGCAAGATATTTTTTTATTTATATGTAGCGTCGTCAAATATTATATCACCGAGTAATTTATTATATCATCAAATCAATGCAAAGCAGAATTTTATTGTCTATTATATTTGGATTTTTTTTTTTAAAAAAATCCCAAATAGTATTTTGATTCCCTAAATTGTATTCAACCATTAAACTGGTCTTGGTAAATGTGGTTAAATGTGGTGTAAACTATTAGATAATATAAATATAATTTGTTATTTTATCTAAATAGAGAAATTTTAATTAATTAAAACTAGTTTTTTCGGACTATTTATTAAATTTATTTAAGAAAAAAAAAATAATATAATATATATATATAATAGTCGAACAATTTAAATTTAATTTATTTAATTAATAAATAATAATACTAATACTAATACTAGAGAATAAAATTTTATCGTTTATAAACTATATAAACTATATAAACTATATAAAATTAGATATACTATACGTACTATACAAACTATACAATTTATATAAATTATTAAATTATATAAATTATGCAATATAACGAAGTAACTGCAAGATAACGAAGAATTCAGAATATTTGATTGGTTGATCCGTTTTAGAGAGGGTATTTTATTATATCCAGACCAAAAATTCGTTATATCAAGACTTCATTATAATGAAGTGTTGACTGACTGTATTACGAAGTATAAATTACACTATTATTATTTTTAATTATTTATTGGTTACCCACGTATCATTCGATTTTTCATAAGTTATCGTTCGATATTTAATGTAGTTTTTTAATGTTGTGTTTAATGTAGTGTTTAATATAATTTATCAATTTGGGAATTTAGTATCATAAGGTAATAATATAGTATTAATGTTATGAGAATATGATGTGCGATTATGTAGCTAAAAAATCGTGAAGTTCTCTATTTACTATAACCCATTGCGACGACGTTAAATGTTGAACCAATTAATTATACCCGGTAATTTTTTAATTTGACCATTATTTTTGATGTGATTTGTTGTTTATTATTTAAGGAATTATCAATAATAATAATATATGAACTGATAACTGCATAATAAAAGGTATACATATATTTAAATTATTTAGTATGAAACAAAATTGTGACATAGTAGAAAATTCGATTCAGAAAATTATGATAAAAGAAATTTTAAAAGATACTTTTTTTTTTGGAAGAAGGAAAAAAATAAAATAGAGAACAGAACGAATAAAATTTAATTAACAATATAATATTTCAATGATAATTAAACAAAGTTGAATTACATATTTAGTAAATTCTATGGTAAAATGATATAATATAATAAATAATAATGAGAATAAAGAATTTCCTTCTTGTGTATGTTTGTATCTCGTACATTAATGCAGATACGATAAATTATGGAAAAAAATGGCCAATCATTCTTTAATATTTTTTTTTCATTACCAAATAATTGTTTATTAGTAAATTTAAAATGATGAACAACAAAGATTCATGTTGTATGTATTTTAATAAATATATGAAGACCGTCAATGATTATTAATAATTTATGTACAGTATATACTATTATTATCTGTTATTGTATATTATAGAATTTAATAAGTTTTCTTTGGGCATTTATATATTTTTCTCATAATTATAATCATATAACGTTATCCAATCAATGAGTGGAAATGTAGAAATCTTCACTTCACCTGTAAGAATCGATTAAACAATACATGTGAAATTGAGAATCTAAAATAAATTCCTTCATAATAATAATAATAAATACCGAGTTAATAAGGCGTTTAATGTTTCAAAAAAAGCGATATTGAAAATTTAATTAATCAAAGAATAAAAATGTTCGTTGTATAAGTTGATTATATTGTTTTTATTTTTTGAAACAATCATTAATTTTATTTTTTTTATTCTTGTATGAGAATTCATATAAATAAATTTATGTAAATTATTTATTTTATTACGGGTATCTTTATCATTTATATTATACCTTGATGAATGATTGTTAAATTAATAAGGATCGTTTATTCTCAGTATTTGTTAAATAGTAATACAATTGCATTAAAATAGTAAAAGTTACATCATTTGCTCAATTTCGGAAACCGAAGCAAAAGTTTCATTTATATACTTACTTTTTTGAATAAAATTCTATATTTATTTTTTTGATAAAAATATTTTTCCGATTTCGTATTTTTCATAAATTTCGTTTAGATATTTTTTTATTATTTCCTATATTAATTAATTATTTTTTTTTATTAATTGTCCGGAACTTAGTGAAGAACTACGCTTACCCTAATCATTTTAATTTTTTGTCACCGTTTTCTTGAAATTATAATAAAATCAATATTAAAAACTACATTTAATCCTTAATAATATTCATAACAGATTGGCATGAAGAATTAATTTGCAAGCAAATTCTAATTCATCATTACTTAAAATATATATTAAAAAAATAAATCCGTTAAGTGGTCAGAGGTTAAGTTCAATTCTTAAAATGTTTATTATTGATAGATCAATCATGACAGGCAGTTCGGTCCAATTGCACTCTCTGTAATATGGCTGTCATGTAATACAAAAAGTTATGATCTTGTAGTCAAAGTCATTTCACAATGATATTTCAGTAATAAAGCTATCAGAATACGGTAGCTATTGTTATTGAATTACTGATGGGAAGTTAGACCTGAGATTTTGAAGGAAATATCATGTTGATCCAATGCTATTTATTATAAAAAGAAGGTCACTGCAATTTGAAGCCATAATAATAGCCACAAACTTTCCTGAGTGATCAAACCCTATACTTAAAAAAATTAAAAAATGGTTATTAATTTATTAATATCTTTATCATTAAATATTTTGAAAACTAATCAAAAATTGTCATTATAATATTAATAGAATATGTGTAAAATAATAAAAGGAATAATTTTTATTAATATAAAAAATAATATTTTTATCATTAAATATCTCAAAAATTTATGCATAAATTATCATTATAATATTAGCAATATGTGTAAAATGAGATAAAGAACAATTTTAATTAATATTATAGATAAAAATTCATGACCAGAATTGGATCATCCAGATTAATTCGACTAGTTAGGAGCATTAGTAGTGCATATTCAAGATCTTGGTAAAGAGTATTAGTCAAGTGTTAGTTAAAATTTTTATAATAAAAGCATAGGTAGATAGATCCTGCATGCTGTTCAAATTCAGAAAAGGGATATTTACAATAGGGTTAGCAAAATTATATTGTCAATATTTCACTTTCCGAGTTCCATATCATCTACCCATTTCTTTATAATATAAAGGGGCCTAGATTTGACAGGCATAATTTCATACGTTATTCTTCACTCTTTGTTCTTGCTCCATAAGTCTATCTACATAAGCCAACCTTTACATTGTAGTTTTGTTGTTAAAAATATTTTATACATCAATAAAGATAAAGTTATAATTGTTACATTTTTTGATGTATATTAGATTTTATATGTATGCAATTATTTGTATGATAATCAGATTTTTTATAGACTCATTTCAATAAAGTTGTTTATAAATTTTGTGGATGTCAAATTTCATGTTTTATTCTGGGAAACATTCTATAAATAAGTTTTTTATAAAATTTTTTCTCCATCATAGATTGTAATAATATCTAGCATATTACACTTATATAAGCTATATTTTCATCATATTGCCTTGTCCATCTTAATTGACTTTCTAGTAGATTGAAAAGTCAAGATAATTTTTTGGTGAAAATTATCGGCATGACAATTTCTCACGCGAACTTGATTTTTATAGATAAAAAAAATATAAATTGAGGTGCATTGGAATTATGTAACATAGCGAAGCAAGAGAAATTTTTTATTTGTTTGAATCATTTATGCAATTACATATCACTAAATGTGACCAGTAAATTAAACTTTTAGGCTTATCGTATTATTATCGTTCTCATTATTATGATTGATTCTTATATTCATATTCTTATATTATTATTATAAGAGGATGAGTTTATGACCTCTAATAAGTTAATTAAATTTGACATTTAACATTGCCACTATCTTTTCTATTCCCTGTCCTAATTTATTTAATTTATTTTCCACATTTTTTATTCCCTGTTCAAATTTATTTATCACATTTTTTATTCCCTGTTCAAATTTATCTTTCAACATTCGAAGCTCATTTCGAATAATTATTAACTCCAAACCTACTAACCATTCCGTTTCCAACTCCACACAGTTCTTGAAAACCATAGTTTGTGGGATTGTTCAATTTTCCTCTCATTGCATCATATTTATTTTCCATTTTCATCACTACATTTTGAGTTAATTGCAAATGTAAATGCCCGTGGCATTCCATTGCTGACTCCCATTTACCAAAGTTCATTGTAAAACCTTCAACGGGATATGGATCATTACAAAGATTTTTTAAGAACACATTTACTGCTTGATCCAATACCCATGCCCAAAATCTCTTATTCGTCACTAGTTCTCTATTAGTCTTGTGATTGTTGTGATATTTTCCAAGGTGGGGACATATAAGGATTTCTCTCATAAGTTCTTGGCGAGAAATGATGAACCCTCCTTTTTCTTCCACAATTCGTTCATCTTCTACAAACCAATTACAGTTACGAGAGGCATGAGATAATTGTGGTACATTATTGCAAGCACAGTAGATTTTTGGTTTATTGTAAACTATACTATGGTCATTCCGATTCCCTATGATAAGATTATCATTAATATTTGTCACATAACCCAAAAACCTTTCTACAAATAACTCACCTTCGACGCAATCAGCGTGATGATTATAATATAATTTTGGTGATTTTCCACTTTTAGAAACCCGTGACATTTCTTATGTTTTGAACATAAATCCCACGCTCTCTTTACTA